TCGATGAACTTCATCCTCAACCCTATAGATTCGATTCGAAATGATCAGTCCAACAATAGCAGCTATGAATAAGAATCCCGCTACAATCCCAACAACAACAATAATCACAATCAAAACAGTATTTGATTTTCTTTTCCTGTCTGCATTGACTTGAGCTGAAGCGTAACTGTTAAGTATCCCAGTTCCAGAGAAACTGACTAAGGTCTTAGGATTTAAGGGAGGCAGAAATCCTGAGAGCAGATGATTGTTCGACAGCACCAATTCTGTCAGGCCTTGCAGTGCAGAAAAAGACGCAGGAACTGTGCCTGTAAAGTAATTATTTGAGAGATCAAGGATCTCAAGCAGGGATATTGCACCTAGTTGAGAAGGTATGGAGCCACTCAACTTGTTTCCAGTGAGGTTGAGAGCTGAGCTTAGACAGGTCGGCATGCTCGGGATGACTCCGCTGAGCTCATTGTTTCCTAGCAGCAGCTCGATTATTTGTTGCAAATCAGATAGGGAAGCTGGTATTGAACCATTCAGATTGTTGTTTTCCAGATTCAAGATTTGAAGCTTGCTCAAGTTGGAGATTGCAGGAGGAATGGAACCGGTAAGAGAATTATGGCTCAGATCAAGAGTAGTCAAGTTTATCAGATCCGAGAACTCCAGAGGAATGTTCCCAGTAAGATTGTTTTGTTGAAGTTTCATGATTACAAGCAGATTAAGTCTGCCAAGGCTTACGGGCAAGCTACTTTGGAGCTGGTTATTGGCCAGATTCAATAAAGTTAAGCTCTTACAGTCGCCCAATTGATTTGGAATCTGCTCCTTCAGCGTGTTGTCGTTGAGCTCAAGATAGGTCAGATTCAAGAGCTGTCCGAGTTCTGGAGGTATGCTTCCATTAAGCAAATTCTGGCCAAGCCTTAAACGATACAGATTCTTTGAAAATTTATTTGGAATTGGACCATGAAGCCAGTTAGCAGACAGATCAACAGTATGTAAGGTAGCAGGAGAAAGGAGATCAGAAGGAATCGGTCCGCAGAGACTATTGTAGCTGAGATCAAAGAACTGCATGTGGGAAGTGATTCCAGCAGGAA